TTTTTTTTGCTTTTTTATGAATCCTTGAGATTTCAGAGTTAGGCTGTAAGGTACATCATAACACAAAAGCTTGAGCTGCGGGGGTGTGCTCCTCAACGGTGTTTTGGGCTTTGGCATCCCGCCAGGCATCGAGTTAGCGCCAGTTCGCTGGCCATCAGAAAGCCATAGACCGAACGAAACCCTGCTTCCTTACTGCTCGTCGTTGGCTGCCTGGGATCCGCTTGGATAGATAGGCTGCCTGCGATCCACTGCGAACGAGGCAGGCGGTGAGGCCTTCAGCCAAGCCTGCTGGTCCGACCGCCGCCACCGCCGCATGCAGTTTACAAAGGTCGATGAAGAGAGTTGATGTGTTTTTTTTTGGGGTTGACACCCGGGACAGTCTGAACAATCCCGTTGGCTGTTGACAATGTGTACCAAAAGCAGGCCATCTCGGATGTTTGTTGGATCATCCAGGCAGGTACGGTACGGGGTGGTTCGTCGTTTGTCGGTACCATGACTTTTCGCAGTCAGGACGTGGTGATCGGAGAAAGCACTCTCGCGGAGCAGGCCCGGAGTAGAGCAGCTCGTGACTAGCGGGGGCCACACACACTGAAAATGCGAAGTTTCAGAGACTTGTGAGACATGTGTTGATGCATATCGAAACGCTGAAACCGTTTCACCTATTTTGTGCGATATCTGGGGATTCTCCCATGCTGCATCTCATTTTGAGAGACTGCAGGGCTTAAAAACCTCCAGAGAGGTTTTGTGAAACCTGCTTGCTTGGTTTGCGTGGAGTATTCTTTTTAGGGTATGTGATGACTAGACTAGTTTCCCTGCCGACAGGTTCTCCTGGATATTTTCACTGAGCCATACATGGCCCGCAGACAGTGGCCCCTGGAAGAATACTCTTCCTTTCAAATGGGGCCTCTTCTGTCAAATGGCCTTTGTTGCACAAAGAGAGAGGGTCACCAAGTAAGGCCTTCAAGTCTGGTCCATCAAATGTTGAAGCACCAGCAGTTCCAGCTCGTGCTGCAAAAAATCGGCACCAGCTCGCGCCCCCTGAAATCCTCATGATCTCAATACACATAGGGACTATATCATAGCATCTAGAAACCCGTTCCTTTGGCTTTGACTTTTGCACTCTTTTTTCTCGAGTTGCTTGGGGTGGAAACCGTGCATCGCTTGATTCAACCATTCGTGTCGGAGCAGGTGGTCTCCTGTTCAGGCCCGCTCGAAGGCGGGGACGGAAATGGCTTTTGGGAGCCCAGTGGGGGAAGAGAACCGCCGAGAGATGGAAGCTACCAGATGAGCAAGGCACAAAAGCTCCCAAGATGAACTAAAGGCCTTGTCATATGGAACGTATTTTTGCCCAGCTCAGATGAAACTTCGCCGCACTTCTTCTTGGGCATTTGTGGAACAAGTCGGACTGGGACGTGGGCAATGGAACCTTCCGACAGCTCAAACCTCACGTGGTACTCATGCAGTGCTCCCTGGGTTCCCATGCGTCCCTCAAGGGCGGCTCCCTCGGGCTTCGCACCTGTGATGGAATCAGTTATGAATCAAGCTGAGTGTTGGCCGTTTGAGGTGACTCAGTGGAGCCCTCACATTCAAAAAGAACGAGAAACACATCCGAGCCGAGCCCCGAGCCCCGAGACTCCTTTGGGCACTGCAGCGCCGCCTTCTGCCCGTGCCTCACCCGGCGCCAGGGCTCCAAGTCGCCATCCCCTTCGTGGTGGAAAAGGCCCCGAGCCGCGCAGAAGCGGCCGCGCACCGCGTCTCGCGGTGGGCAGTCCAGACGTTGACAGAGGAACAGCATGGGTAAGGCATTAAGCACCAAAGTTAGTATATATAATTTGGGTTTGTCCGAACTGACCTGAGTAAACAAGCAAACACTATTTTTGGACAAGGCCTCTACTAATCATCATCATCATCATCATCATCATCATCATCATCATCATCATCAT